CACGTTTATTTTGTGGAACTTCAAAAAATAATTTGGCACCTGATTTTGTTTCTTACAGGAGCCAGTGGCTCCTTAAGTGATTTTTTTTGTCTGGAGCCCTAAAATGATATTTTTCCACAAAAGGCATATTTTCAGCTCATAAATAGAGAAGACAGTATATTTACCAGCTCTTAAACTGATTATTGACACGCTCTTGTGATGGGAGGCGCACGAAGACGAAGGTAATCCAAAAAGTAATTCAAGATGATGAAGAATCATACATAACACAGGGTAACACAAGCAGCATACAGAACTAATAACCGGCAGCTAACTGAACTGAAAGGAGAACTTAAAGGGGTCATATGATGCGATTTCAATTTTTCCTTTCTCTTTGGAGTGTTACAAGCTCTTGGTGCATAAAGAAGATCTGTAAAGTTGCAAAGACTAAAGTCTCAAATCCAAAGAGATATTCTTTATAAAAGTTAAGAGTCAACCACGCCCTCCTAAAATGGCTCATTCTAACACACCCCCACATGTCTACGATGTGGGAAGACTTGCATAACACTGGCCAAATGTTCACGCAAAGAAAGAAGGCATAACTTTTATTCTCGCTGTAGTATTGTTGTTGCCGCCGCTGCCATGTCGTGGAGACGCTGTGTGTTTTGTTGTGAAAGCGAAACTACTTTGTTTGGCCTTCCAAAAGAGGACGATATCCGCTTCGTCATGCCTAGAGCTGATCCGTGCTGGTCGCTGAGGAAATACATCAACTTCGCGCTGTGAATCGCCGGATCGGCTTTCACCGTGGACAAAGCAGAGTCCAGCCCGGGGTCGTCACATGTGGTTGCCACAAGCCCGCCCGCCACTCCTTCGTCGAATCCGCTGGCCGTTCCTCACTCTAGGCCGCCGACCGCCGCTCACTCTAGGCCACCGGCCGTTCCTCACTCTAGCCCGCTGTGTGTTTCCTTGTGAAAGCGAAACTACAGTATAAGTCATTATAATCAGTAATTATGTGCCCACTGGATGCAACAAATGCCTCGTTTGTAATGGGTTTTATTGTTTTTGTTTGGTTGCGCACAGGGCATCACAGTATGGTAAGGGGCGTAACATTTCTGTCACACGCTTGAGGTATTCAGCCAATCACAACGCACTGGATAGCTGGCCAATCAGCGTACACCTCGCTTTTCAGAACGATGAACTTTGTAAAAATCGACGCGTTTCAGAAAGGCGGGGCATAGAGGAGCAACAATAATGTACATTATGTGGAAAATATACAAATAAACAAAATATAAAAGACTTTAAAAAATGAGAAAACAAAACGAGGGGAAACACGCCACTAACTCATTGTCTGGCCAGTTATTCTGTCACACTCTTGTGAAGGGAGGCGCGCGAAGATGAAGTTAATCCAAAAAACATTTAATAGTAATCCAAGATGATGAAGATTCATACAAAACACTGGGTAACACAAGCAGCATACACAACTAATAACCGGCAGCTAACTGAACTGAAAGGGGAACTTAAGTAGGGTGAGATAATGAAGGACAGACAGGTGAGGATGATAACTAATCAAACACAGGTGAACTGAATTAATCAAAGGACAACAGAAACTAAATGAAAACAACAAAAGAAGTCCATGGCTGTGACAATTATGGGCTTCAGTGCTTCAACAGTGGACATGAAAGCTGATAATTTGCAATGATTTTTCTGTCCCCAGCAGACCCCATTTGGAGGGTCTCAGACTGAATTTATTTATTTTTTTGTTAAATATTGTATTTATAAATGGCAGGTTGTCTTAGAAGAAGAAAAAAATGATTATTTACTGCAACTTCTCTGTGGTATTCTTTCTCTTCTACTTGTTGCAAAGCTCACCAGAATTTGACAGTAACCTTAACGGGTAAACAAAGAAGCCGGGTGAGGGAAGAAAGCTATCCTGACATTTGGAAGATAACCGAATCTAGAAGCTGTCTAGGGAGATGGGGTGGAGGTAGTAGAGAAGAAGGAGAAGGGGAGGACCTGTATGGAATAGACAAGAGAGTTTAATCTATCCCTCTAACGTAAAAGAGCTCATTGCTGTGGTTAGTGTTATCCAGGTTATTTTTATTGTTTTTATTTGTATATTATTTTGTAATTCATAGGAATAGTATATTATATTATTATATTATGTCTATTATTATTCTGTCTATGCAGATAACACACACTCTACCTTTCCTGCCAGTGCCAGTGCACCTCCTGTCACTTGCAAATCTACATTGCCTCCAGAAATCTGCAGCCATTGAGTGAGTGGTGCCTCATGGTACCAAAATAAATAGGTGCAAAATTACTCTCCCAAATTTTCATATTGTCTAATTATTTATTTATTTATTTATTTATTTATTTTAATCCAGCTCCCGCAAGACTATGCGTGGCACACTTTGCTGTGTCAATGCACAGTATCACATCAGATAGTGCACTATAGATCCTCTGAGCAACAATTCCACTCATTCTCTGCTATAGGACAGGAAGAATTGTATAAACTTGTCAAATCATCAGAAACATGTATGTTAGACCCGATTCCATCTAAGCTACTAAAAGAGGTGTTTCCAGAAGTCATAGATCCTCTTCTGAATATTATTAATTTGTTAATGTCATTAGGATATGTCCCCAAAGCCTTCAAATTGGCTGTTATTAAGCCTCTCATTAAAAAAAACACAACTTGATCCTAGAGACTTAGTTAATTATAGACCGATCTCAAACGTTCCTTTTCTGCATTATCCTCTCATGTACGTTCCTTCTTAGAAAAAAATGGTATCTGTGAGGTTTTCCAGTCAGGATTTAGACTGTATCATAGTACTGAGACTGTTCTCTCGTCCGCTGTTATCTCAAAGACTCTGGCCATTTGATAATACCAGTAATCAAAACAACTGCGGGTGGCAAATCCTTTTCCTATTTGGCGCCCAAACTCAATCTACACTAGAACAAAAACAATCTACCCAGTGTTGTTCAGGAGGCAGACACACTCACACTGTCAGTTTAAATCTAGATTAAAGACCCATCTCTTTAACCTGGCATACACATAATACATTATTGCATTTCTATAATTCAAATCTGTTAAAGGTTTGTTAGGTTGTATTAATTAGGTCAACCTGAACCTGGAACATTTCCCATAACACTCGATGTACTTGCTGCATCATAAGAAGAATGGCATCTACGCTAATATTTGTGTTTCATTCCTATTCCATAGCCATATGGATCCAGTCTGTATCCAAATCAGATGGTCACCGTAGCCACCCAGATTTAGTCCATAACCAGACCAGATGGTGGATCAGCACCTAGAGACGACCTCTACAGCCCTGAATGTCAGTGGAGACCATGTCAGCTACAGTAGATGCACCCTAGAGACAGATCCCCTGCGAAGAACCTGTCACCTCGACCACCATCGGCACAAGACCACGGGAACCAAACAAGTCCTCTGCACAATCTGACCTGTGTTGCAGCCTGGAATTAAACCACGCCATGCTGGTTTCGTCTGGCCAGAGGAGAACTGGCCCCTGACTGAGCCTGGTTTTTCCCAAGGTTTTTTCTCCATTTCTATCACCGATGGAGTATTGGCTTGCTTAGTTGGGGATGCTTGACTGATTGCACAGACACTATTGGAAGAGAGCTGAACTGGATGATGACATAACTGAATCATCAATCATTAGCTGGAAAAATGACTCTTTGTTAATTGTCCTCTTGCATTATTGACAAACTATTTTCCTCTTTGACACTGTAAAGCTGCTTTGACACAATCAGTATTGTCAAGTCAAGTCAAGTCACCTTTATTTATATAGCGCTTTTAACAATACAGATTGTGTCAAAGCAACTGTACAGCATTAATTAGGAAAATAGTGTGTCAATAATGCAAAATGACAATAGTAAACACTCAAATTTCAGTTAAAGGCAGTTCATCATTGAATTCAGTGATGTCATCATCCAGCTCAGTTCAGTTTAAATAGTATCTGTGCAATCAAGTAGACGATATCGCTGGAAATTAAGTGTCCCCAACTAAGCAAGCCAGAGGCGACAGCGTCAAGGAACCAAAACTCCATCGGTGACAGAATGGAGAAAAAAACCTTGGGAGAAACCATGCTCAGTCAGGGGGCCAGTTCTCCTCTGGCCAGGTTCAATTCCAGGCTGCAGCAAAGTCACATTGTGCAAAGGACTCAACTGGTTCCTGTGGTCTATTGTATAAAGTGCTAAACAAATAAAGGTGACTTATCATCCTAATAGACCAACTTGCTCTTAGGATTGTCTTATTTCATGCACATCTACTGTGTGCATGGCTACATGCTTTATAATGCTGTACTGTCTGTGTTGTTTACAAACGTGTACATATTTCCTGCCTACAAATCCAAGAAGTACTGCTCTTTTCCTTCTTCATCTCAAAATGAATCCTGCACCACAATGAATTTAATTAGGTTACATGGGAATGCAAATATTCTAAATGTCATTGTGCTTTTGTTCAATTAAAAAAAAAAAAAAAAGGTATCTTTAGACATATTGTGCCAGGTGTGACATCACTGACACCATTTGTGTGCTGCGTGACCATGACAAACACAAAAAAAATGTGATTGGAAAGTTCCAGAACAAAGGAAAGACAGACTACTTTTATGATACTGTTATGGTGCGTTTTTGAGCTTGGTGGCATAAACTAACCATTTCCTTGTATGGAAAATGGAGGCTTCTACCTTAGAACTCATTTTGTGTTTCACAAAAGAAAGAAAATTATGCAGGGCTGAACATTTTGAGGATCAGTAAATGATGACAATTTTTTTGATGTACCAACAAACCCTGGCACATCATCTTGACAGGAAACTCTTTCAACCCCTCCATCCCTTTCTGTCTGGCCTTTATCTCTGTCTTTCTCACTCACATTTACTTTCTCCCTCGCTCCTTGCGTCAATACAGACCCTCCCTCTCCCCCTATTCTCTCTCTCTTTCTCTCCCTCATACATACATACTCACACACACACACTGCTTCCTTTCACTCTCACTCTGACAGTCTTCAGTTCAACATGTTGCCTGAGCGATGCTGCGCACCACAGTGGAAGACATCCTGCCGGTTTACCGGCCACGCACCACAGCCCGAGCATCAGTGCTCCATTTGAAGGACCTGTGTGAACAGGAGCACGACCCTCACAAACCCCAGCCACCTCCCAACAGAGAGGAACACAACGCGAGCTCCATGTGGAGGGAGGCCATGCGTAAGAGGAGCTACTTGCTGGAGAGGGGCTCCCGGACAGGAGGAGATGTAATAGGAGGAGGAGGTGTGCGTGGCCGAAGACAGAGGTCCCTAGACTGGCTGTATGATTCCTACTATCGTATGAGCCAGCAGCACCCACTCATTGTTTTTCTGCTCCTCATTGTGATGGGTGCCTGTCTGGCTCTGTTGGCTGTTTTCTTCGCCTCTGGGCTGGTGAGTGTTTGGAAACTGGGGGAAGGTAACTGGGGAAAAAGCAGAAAGGGAGTGGTTGGGTTGGTTGAAGGAGAAGGCACTGTTGCTACTGTACTGAGCAAGTTACACAGTCAAATGTAAAACTTATATTGCACTTATTTCTTTAAGGGTTTCTAAAACAGTTAACAAACCCTCTACAAGGCCACACCTGTATTTTTTTCATGCACTATATGTATCAGAAAATGAACTTCATGTGCCCAAAAACGACACACTTTAGAGGAAGTTCCAGCCAGTCAGCTCTGTTTGTGCTGATTGCAGCAACCATATGTCTCTGTTTACCTAATGCAGTATATAATCACTCTCTTCAAAGCATAATTTCTGTGATTCATGTAAAAGTGATGAAGAAGCAGCAGGGAATAATCAATGCATGGAAGGAAAGGGAATACATTTGGAAAATGAACAGACATAGTCATTGGTAATTAAGCATAACAGATTAAGTACAGTCATGGCCAAAAGTTTTGGCAGTGACATACATTTTATGTTTTGCAAAGTTTGCTGCTTCAGTATTTGTAGATTATTTTTCCACATGTTTCTACGGTGTACTGAAAAACAATGATAAGCATATCATAAGTTTTAAAGGCTTTTATTGGCCAAAAAGTATAATGAGTCAGCATTTACAGTGTTGACCCTTGTTCTTCATAACCTCTGCAATTCACTCTGGCATGCTGGATATTAGCTTCTGGGCCAAATCCTGACTGA